ACGCTATCAAAGAATGAGGTCACCAAGCCCTCTTTGTGTGATTTTCACTCAAGATGTCGATCGAAACGTACCAATTATTTTTCTATTTTTATTTGTTCATGTGATATGGACCTTAACGATTCGTTGGGTTAGGTAAATAATTGAATAGCAATCCATGTATACATATGTATAATAGTGTCGATAATATTTTGATAACGTGGTATAACTTCATTGGTTTGGTTTTTGGCGACATCTGTGAGTCTGGTTTTTGGTTCTTGATGTAAAAAAATATTATATTATAATAGTATTTTTTATTTGTTTTATTAAAACTTTCGTAAGAAATAGTATATTTTATTAAAAATCCCCTTATACCGGCGAGAAGCAACGCTTACGCTGTTTTTCACTATGAGCTTGAGGTTACTGGGGGCCCGATCTCTCCCCTCCATCCTTAATCCTCAAATCCCTTATCCTTTAACCCACAAGAGACTGGCGAAGCACTTGTAGTAACTCCTTTGGTATTACGAGTGTCCATGGGCGGCGCTGATTGCTTACCATCAGGTAATCCGTCCGCTTGCGCTCGTTTGCGGAATAATGACATTAATAAAAACTATTTTACGTATATTTATGTTTAAAGTTACTTATTACAATATTTGTTTTTTATGTAATAGGTCGGCAAACGAGCAGACGGATTACCTGATGGTAAGCAATCGGCGCCGCCCATGGACACCCGCAACGGAGGAGTTACGAGTGCGTTGCCGACCTTTTAGGGATTAGGGATTTGGAGATTTAGGGATTGAGGAGGGATTGGGAGAGGGGAAGGATTGGGCCTCCGGTAACCTCACTCACACGGCGAAACACAACGCTGTGATTGTTTCACACCGGTTTTCTGTGAGGTCGTATCACGTTCTATCAAATTTCTTTCTAATATGTATGTCATATAATCCATCCGTTCCTAACTTCAGTTCTTAGCAACGAACTCAATTTATTTATTAATCCAAATTATACTTTATTTACTTTATATAAATTAGGAAATTGATCGTAAAAGCTTATCCACTATCATGATCATCAATATAAAAGCTCTTTAATATCTTTAGATTTATGATCCCGAGACTCCTATTATTTGGGAATTACGTCAGCCATAAATATTATGGAATGGATCATAGTATTACGATCCAAGGTCAATTGTTTTACCTTTTTTTCTATAGAGTCAGATGTCTTCTCATTTCCTGGGTAGGTTAAGAGGGAGTGTCAGACTCTTACTGACTAAAAACCTGTTCGAAAGAAAGAAATGAAATGTCCTGCTATGAGCTGGGTCCAAATGTCGTGGTGGCCTGGAGGTTAAGGAGCCCGCTTCTCATGCATGAGGGTGTGGGTTCGAAACCTGGCAAGTACCAATGTGACTTTTTCCGAGTTATTGTATGTACTTTCTATGATTATTTAGACACCACTGACATACGGTGAAGGTAAACATCGTGTGGAAACCTGGACTTATAATTTCTTATTGTAAGTTTGAAATCGCCAACCCGCATTGAGCAAGCGTGGTGATTAATGCTCAAACCTTCTCCGTGTGAGAAGAGGCCTTTGCTCAGCAGTGGGCACTTATAGGCTGATGATGATGATGATGATGAGCTGGGTACTTATAGGCTGATTGTTTTGTAGCGAGAATGCTGACACAATGTTTTTGGTATATTGCTTGCTACTGTCCTGCGCCCGACAACGCCAGTTGTCCCGTAACCTCTTTATACACCGCACTACAGTCACGCGCACATTTGTAACCCTTGTAATTTCGGAATTAATAAAATATATTCGTAAGTAATTTCGGCATATATTATTTCTCTCTGTACACAACGTGAAAGTGAATACGCATAACATACGATACACTAAAGGTTTTTTTTTTGTTGCGGGATAAATCGTCAAATTACTTGTCTTGCACAGGGGGAGTGTCAGACTCTTACTGACTAAAAAAATCTTGTGCCTTTTCCTGCTCTAGGCCGAGCCGCGGTGCCCCATTGCGCTTACCCAGCAACTGCTGATGGTGGGATGACTTGGATTTCTTCTTTTTATATATTTTTTCTTTTTTTTTGCTTGACGATCAAAAGTGCCTACTGTTTTTTATTTAAAATAAATGATTTTGACTTTTTCACTTTGACTCTAATGTAGACATTGAAATCAACATTACCAATCCCCATCTTTAATACTTACATGCAACTTAATTAACCTTTCTAAACGTTTGGCGGCAATCATGGTAATTCGACACATAATAGCAGAACAATAGGTGCGCGAACGCCGGCGTTGTCTCGGGGTTTGGTGAATTAAGAGTCAGACCACCACAATTCCCCATCTGTTCTATAAGAAACAACGTCGAGTAGGAGAAAGAAAGAGCTGGTTTTTATTCAGTACATCTGACACTTTGCCACCTCACCTTGGGCGACAGATAGAAGTTCTTTGATGAGTTCCCGCGGCCTCGGCCCAGAGTAAGAGGAGGAACGGCGTGGTTTTTAGTCAGTAAGAGTCTGACACTCCTTCTCGCCTCACCCTGGACGGGAGAAGTCAATTGAGGATTTCGCCCCCTCAAAAAAAGAAACGGTTCATTAACACCCGGTTTCTGAAAGGCTTGTCAACGCTAAGGAAATGGCTCATTAATGCCCAGATGTCTCGAATTACCACGATTGAAATGTAAATGCTCTAAACGTTTAGAAAGGTTAATTATGTTTTGCTTGTAAGTATTAAAGATGGGGATTGGTAACGTTGATTTCAATTGCTCCTCCTTCAGCGTCGGACAACATTATCCAACATGGCGTCCAATGTGTTAAAACTGGCACCTTTCAATAGTCTTCAAACATCATTTTATATATGTCAAGTGTTATTGTTTTTCAGATATAAGTGAACATGTTGACTTAGCTCTCAACTGACCCCATTTTCCTGTCCTCCTTTAAAACAATCATTGTGTTTTTATGAATAACCAGCTTCTGCCCGCGACTTTGCCCGCTAGAAATACTGACTTCTGCAGATTTTTGGCTTAAAAATGTCCTGTCCTATATCCTTTCTCGAGTTCCAAACTATGTCTGTATCACAATTTTACACAAGCGTGGGAGAGCCATGCTTCGGCACGAATGGGTCGGCTCGACCGAAGTTATACCACGGCCTCACAGAAAACCGGCGTGAAACAACCACAACGTTGTGTTTCGCCGTGTGAGTGAGGTTACCGGAGGCCCAATCCCTTCCCAATCCCTAAATCCCCAAAATCCCAATCCCTAAAAGGTCGGCAACGCACTCCTTCTTTGTTGTGGGTGTCCATGGGCGACGCTGATTGCTTACCATCAGGTAATCCGTCTGTTCGTTTGCCGTCCTATCACATAAAAAAAAAGAAACAAATCGGTTCAGTAGTTTAGGAGTGAAGAAAAGACAAAAAGACAGACAGAGTTACTTTCGCATTTATAATATTAGTTTGGATAACATACAATGTTTAATTGTGTATTTTATTTATTTTGTTTTCCTTTTAAATTACTTTTGATTAAGTTATTTTTGTCTTAGGTATAAAGCGGCGAACACGCGGCTCGATTCTTCTTAGGGAATGAGGGATATAGGGCGATCGGACACTTGATCGCTCGATCTATGGACACTAACAGCCTAACAGCGATTTAAGTGTGGGAGAGCCATACTTTGGCACGAATGGGTCGGCTCGCCCGGAGTGATACCACGGTCTCACAGAATACCGGCGTGAAACAACACTCACGTTGTGTTTCGCAGTGTGCTGAGGTTAAATGTGGCCCAATCCTTTCCCACCCCTAATCTTTCCCCAATCCTAAACTCTCCAACTCCCTAATCCCCCCAAAAGGTTGGCAACGCACACGGAACTCCTCTATCGTTGCGGGTGTCTTGGTGGCGCTACTTTCTATATCTATATCGTGAGGAAACCTGAACTTATAATTTCTAATTATAAGTTTGAAATCGCCAACCCGCATTGAGCTAGCGTGGTGATTAATGCTCAAACCTGCACCGTGTGAGAAGAGGCCTTTGCTCAGCAGTACTTATAGGCTGATGATGTTGATGATGTATAATACTTAGTCCGTCACTCTACGATTATTTTGATTCACTGCCAAATTCCATTACCTGTAATTAGGAGTAGTGTCTGCTTTCAGACTTGGATGGCCTATCCTTATACAACGAATGACCTTGGGATCAAAAATTTCATGTTCAAAGATAATTTCGATATCATGCTTGACATTGAAATCGACCATAGATTAGGAGAACATCAATATTAATGAACTTGGATTATAATAATGGAATTTTGTAACGAAGAAATCCTATATTTGAAATTAAGTGTGGCAGAGTCATGCTTTTTCACGAATGCACGACCACGACGACCGGGGTGATACCTCGCCTCACAGAAAACCGGCGTGAAACAACCACAGCGTTGTGTTTCGCCGTGTAAGTGAGGTTACCGAAGGTCCAAGTATCCCGCAATCCCTAAATCTCCCAATTATCTAATCCACAAAAGGTCGGCAACGCACTCGTAACTCCATGGGTGTCCATGGGCGGCGCTCATTGCTTACCATCAGGTAATCGGTTAGCTTTTTTGCCGACCTATCACATAAAAAAAATCCAGGATCAAGTTTTGTTGGAATCAATTGAATGTGCACTTTAGCATAGTAACGTAGCGAAAAATACAACAACCAATGAATATATTGTCCCGAGTCATTTTGGGGAGTATGCTTTTCCCCAAAATTACCAGTTTATCAGTTTACCTTGAGTTAAGTAACAGCCTTAAAGGAAACAGGTGTTAAACGACTCTTAAGGATCCAGGCCTTGCTTCTCATGTCCAATCCTGTCAAAAAATTTTTACCTCTTCCAATATTGTCCATATCTGCTCATGTCATGTGTGATGAGCATTTAGAAGAATTATTTTATCTTGACAGAGAAAGCGATTTTCTCTTATACTATGTAGTGATGCTAAAACCTGGTCTTTCAGAAAAACACAAAAAAGTCAATTTACTAAATCCAATTTCAATTTGTTACAGACCAATCGAGAACGAGATTGAAGAAGATGATGACTTTACCAGTATAATCGAAGATTCTTATGCACCTAATCACGAAAGGGCTCGTCGCCAAGCTGATGAGGCGACCACACCAGCTCCTGAGGTCGCAGACGCTTCAGACACACCCCTGGACACTGCCTTAGACGCAAATGCCACCGCAAACTCCAGCCTTGGACCCAAAGTACCCCATCCAGAGGGAGCCATCAAGTTAATGGGTCTGAGAGTTGAGGAATCGGAGAAGGAACCGAAAATCGTCGACGAACTTATACCCAGTGTTCTTAGGGATACACATTTCTTCTTGAGGCTTTTCGGGGAGAATTTTACTAATGATACTATTATTGCTTTTACTCATACACCAGCGGCTTATGGGGAAACTTGTGACCATCTTCTGAATGGAGAATATAAGGTGAGTCATTCTTTTAGTCTTTTATTGGCCTATCGTAAAGGGATTTTTAAGTGCAGTGACTGCGATCTGACTAGGTGTTGTACAGACGAGTAAGGCATAATTTTTACTGAAAAATAAATTATCTAGAATATACACTGTTTCTTAAAGCTATAACAAGTTCCGAATATTAGGTACAAATACTTCAAGAAAAATGAGACGGTATTAGTCATTAATTTGCAGTTAGCACAGTTATTTGGTTTGTAGATACGCAAAAACGTTGAGTTTGGCTTCGAGTTCTGAATCATAAAACCATTTATCATCATTCATCAGGAAATTGACCAGTTTTTTTTATCATCATAGACATAAAGTACACCTAAACCTGATCGCTAATTGTTCTTGTTTCCAGGTGTCCTACGCCGAAGCGGACTCCGCACTCCTCTCAATGAACGCCCCGCCACCATTAGACGACTACAAATTCTACATTTGCGCCAAAAACTCTGAAAAGGACCACTTTTTGCACCAGGGTTCCGAAAAATGGAAGATCCTGGCCACGCACAACAAGCTTTTACCGCTTTGGGCTTCAATAATCCTGATTATCATTCTTCTGCTTCTGGCTTCACTGTTCTCCGGTCTCAACTTGGGTCTTATGGCCTTGGACAGGACTGAGCTCAAGATTATTGCCAATACTGGCACGGAGAAGGAGAGGAAATATGCTAGAGCCATCATGCCGGTCAGGGCTCATGGAAACTACCTTCTTTGTACCATTTTGCTAAGTAACGTAGCTGTGAACAGTACTTTTACTGTCATTTTGGACGATCTGACCTCTGGTCTGGTGGCTGTTATTGGATCCACTTTGGCCATCGTGTTCATTGCTGAGATCACTCCTCAGGCTGTGTGTGCCAGGCACGGTCTTTTCGTTGGTGCTAAGAGTATCTGGATTATGAAGGTGAGTTTTATGTTCGATTGCTTACCATCAGGCGTCCCGTCTGCTTGATTGCTCCCGATTCCAATTAAATACTGAAGCAATACATCTTTTTTTGATTACACGATGCTAAGCAATTGATCCTTTTGGGGATTCGGGTATAAAGGATGATGAAGATGAGCGAAGGATTGGCCCTTGCTAAAATCCAAACGCAAACCGATCTATAATTATTTTTACCATCTTTTTGGCCCGGATATCGGTTAAAACCGCTGCTCCTCCTTGCATCGGATTCCTCATTGCTGAGGGTCGTGACAACCCTTTTGCATCACATTTTCTAGCACGATCTTTCTCCATCTTACTGTTGCTGGTGTGGAACCGATTAAACTGCCATTGAACTAAGATTCTTCTCAATTTCTTCCAGATTGTGATGGGTATCTGCGCGCCATTGGCGTGGCCGACCAGTAAGCTTCTGGATTACTTCCTCGGTGAAGAAATCGGAACACATTACAACAGGGAGCGTCTAAAGGAGTTGGTCAGGGTAAGTATTTTCACGACCACAACCACCTAAAAAAGGAATCCAATTAATTTCCAATCTTAAAATCAGGCAAAAAATTCGATATTCCTACAAACATTTAACAAGATGGTCGTAAGTCTTTAGTAATTTAAAAATCTCTTCTACCATTTTCGAGGGTGCTCGACTAATTTCGAGTTCGAACGAGGCTCATAAAGCTAACGCGTTGACCACTACGTTCAACACACTATCGCGTTACGCAAACCGCACATTATTTATGCTCAAGCGTTTTTTAGCCGAGGTCGCAGGGCAAGCTCAATAAGGCATCGCGGCTTCGGCTTAGAGCAGGTGAAGTTACGCGAGGGTTTTCAGTCAGTAGGAGTCTGACACTCCTTCTCAATCCACCTCCAACCCCCTCGCAAAAAAGGTTTTAAGGACCTAGGACCTAATAACTAAATATTTTTGCACCCAGGTAACAGATCACGTCAATGACCTGGACAAGGAAGAAGTCAACATCATTTCTGGTGCCCTGGACCTCCGCAAAAAGAAGGTCAGCGAGGTGATGACTAAGCTGAAGGATTGCTTCATGCTGCCCATAAACAGCATCCTGGACTTCGAGACCATGTCTGAAATCGTCAAATCTGGTGAGTGGAACTGGTTTTTTGGTTAGAGGAAGTGATTAACGGTATTGTTGCTCGAATTTTCGCAAGGTCAACTGTAGTGCTGGGCTTCTAGTGCCATTCCTATATCTGGCAAAATTCTTTTGGAGATCCTTTTGTTTTGTACGTGTTAGGACGGCAACGACAAGCTGACGGATTACCTGATGGTAAGCAATCAGTGCCACCCATGGACACTCGCAACAACCTAGGAGTTACGGCAATAAAACAACGAGTTCGTTGCCGATCTTAAGGTGTTTAGGGATTAGAGTTTTGGAGATTTAGGGATAAGGATTTAGAGATTTGGGGATTGGGGTAGGGGAAAGTATTGGACCCCCAGTAACCTCACTCAGACGAGGAAAGATAACGCAAACGTTGTCTCACGTTGTTTTTCTGTGAGGCCGTGGTATCACTCCAGTCGAACCGGCCCTTACACGTGCTGAACTATGGCTGTAACACACATCATATAAATAATACCTTTCTTCTTCCAGGCTACTCCCGTATCCCAGTGTACGAGGGTACTCGCGGCAACATAGTGACGGTCCTCTTCATCAAGGACCTGGCCTTCGTGGACCCTGACGACAACACGCCGCTGCGCACTCTCTGCCAGTACTACCAAAACCCCTGCAACTTTGTCTTCGAAGACATCACTCTTGATGTAATGCTGAAGCAGTTCAAGGAAGGTAAGAATCTTTTACAGCTGGTCCTCGCATCCTTATCCGTGAAAAGAGACAGTCTTCGGTTTATCAAAAATAAAAAATGGCGGCTAAAATCGTATTGTAATATGATCATTCGTTCTTTGAGTAAAGTTTAGTTCTTTGTTTCTATCGGTCATTACTTCATTTATTTGTTAATTCGTTCATTCTGTCATTCATTTATTCACTCGTTTATTTATAGCCTTTAGTTTAACGCAAGTAAAAAAATGCCCAAAATTGGTATCGAATAATGTTCATTCGTTCTTTGAAAGATGTGTAATTTTTTCGTTCATTCCTTCGGAGGCTCATTCGTTCATAAACTTGTTCAAAAATTCATTCTTTGGCTCATTCAATCTTAAATTCATTTTCCGTGTTTTCATTCATTCATTAATTATTTCGTTCTGAAGTTAAACAAAGTATATTGCGTAGTTTTAACATTTGGTATACTTTTTTTTCAAGGTCACAAAGGCCATATGGCGTTTGTCCAGCGCATTGAAGAAGGTGATGGCGATCCAGTGTATGAGACAGTTGGACTGGTCACACTTGAAGACGTCATCGAAGAGATGATACAGGCAGAAATCGTTGACGAAACTGACGTCATCAGTGAGTATCAGTTTTTATATATTAATATTTTTTTTTTGTATGGGATAAGTCTGCATTTTTTTATGTAATTGACCGCAAACGAGCAGACTGGGTTCCTGATGGTAAGCAATCAGCTCCGCCCATGGACACCCCTAACAGAGGAGTTACGAGTGCATTGCTGACCATTTGGGGATTAGAGGATTTGGTAGCTAGGTGGACTGACGACATCCGCCATCAGCTAGGTGGATTGTCAGTGGTTGGATGAGGAGAGCGGCACATCGAGCCCATTGGCGTGCAATTGGCCTACATATGTCCAACAGTGGACGAAATCAGGCTTATGATGTTATTAGCTCACGTAATTGTTTGACGAGTTAACTCGTCTAGATTCCAGCTAAGCAAGGACTCATAGTCTTTGCTCGAAATTTTTCGATTTATCTACTATGCATAAATGTAAGCGTACGGCGCGTAGCGTTCCGCGCGCGCTTTAAAGAGCCAATAGATCACCACAGACGGGGCCCTATAGACCTGATGTTCAGCCGGGGTTGCGGGGCAACCGCAATGAGGCAACTCGGCCTCGGCCTGGAGCAGGATAAAGATCAGGGTGGTTTTCAGTCAGTAAGAGTCTGACACTCCCTCTCGCCTGACCCTGGATGGGAGAAGTCATTTGATGATCTTATCTTCACAAAATTCTTTATTTGCAATGTAGTGTTAGTTAGTGTGTAATGTTAGTATTTATAATCACTTTATCTTAGTCTAATTCTCCATTAATCCACGTCTTTTTCCAATCCAGGTGACAACCGTACGAAGAAGCGTTTGACCCGTCCCGTCAACAAGTTCCAGGATCTGGCCGCGTTCGCTGGTCATCACGAGCACCAACGAGTCCACGTCTCTCCCCAACTGGTCCTGGCTACCTTCCAATTCTTGAGTACAAGTAAGTCAAGCGATTTAGAATACTAGAACTGCTTCATAATAAACACGTATGTTATTGTTAAGTAGGTACCTACTTTAGCCGGAAATCTTAGAGTAATCACATATACGTACAAAACGTTTTGGGAGCACATTTATTATGCGTACAGCCAAGGAGTGGAATTCCTTGCCGGAGTCAGTGTTTCCTGATAGTTACAATCTGGGTATCTTTAAGTCAAGAGTGAATAGGTTACTTCTAGGTAAGCGCGCTCCATCGTCGACCGCATCGTCGCTTTCCATCAGGTGAGATAGCGGTCAAGCGCGAACCTATAATCAATAAAAAAAAATTATGTGAAAGGTCAGCTATACTAGCGGACGGATTACCTGATGGTAAGCAATCAGCGCCGCCCATGGACACTCGCATCAACAGAGGAGTTACGAGTGCGTTGCCGACCTTTTAGGGATTAGGAATTTGGGAGATTTAGGGATTGGGGACAGAAAAGATTGGGCCTCCGGTAACATCACTCACACGGCGAAGCAAAACGCTGTGGTTGTTTTACCCCGGTTTTCTGTGAGGCCGTGGTATCACTCCGGTCGAGCCGACCTATTCGTTCCGAAGCATGGCTCTCCCACACTTAATTATCTTCTTTTCTACATTTGCCTTTTAGAGTAATTAGAAAAAATCCAAACTAATATTATAAATGCGAAAGTAACTCTGTCTGTCTGTCTTTTCTTTACGCCTAAACTACTGAACCTATTTGTGTGAAATTTAGTACAGACATAGTTGGGAACTCGAGAAAGGACATAGGATAGTTTTTATACCAAAAATCCACAGAAAGTCACTGTTCCACGCGAACAAAGTCGCGGATAAAAGCTAGTGTATTATAAATGTCAATTTTGTTCTCAGGCGTGGATCCATTTAAAGTGGACCATATTTCGGAGACTGTTCTCCGTCGCCTTCTGAAGCAGGATGTCATCCAGCATATCAAGCTCCGAGGAGACGAAGATAAGAACGACCCTAAGAGATACGTTTTCTCTGAAGGAAAGCCGGTAAGTTTGAATTACGTCATCATCATCATACAGACAGGGCCCTATAGAGCTGATGTTCAGCCGGAGTTGCGGGGTAAGCGCAATGAGGCACCGCGACCTCGGCCCAGAGCAGGAGAAGGAACAGAGGATCCAGATATGGGTTCCCTAAGGCCTGGATCACGAGTGGAACGCAGTGGTTTTTAGTCAGTAAGCGTCAGACACTGCTCTACCCTGGGAGTCATTTGACGATTTTACCTCATGGAAAAAGGCTTCGGCCCGTTAATTTTTTTTGGTATAAGACGGCAAACGAGACGGATAACCTGATGGTAAGCAATCGGCACCGCCCATGGACACCCGCAACACCAAAGGAGGTACGAGTGCGTTGCCGGCATTTTGGGGATAGGGGTTGCGGATATAAGGATCGGGAAGGGATAGGGGAAGGGAAGGGATTGGGCCTCCGGTAACCTCACTCACACGGCGAAACACAACACTGTGGTTTTTTCACGCCGGTATTCTGTGAGGCCGTGGTATCACTCCGGTTGAGCCGACCCATTCGTGCTCCCACACTTAATTATATTTAACTTATATTTAAACTATTCATTAACTTGGTTATATCACATTGATTTCATCACTACGATACTTTTTGGTCATTATCTCGCCTCATGGTAAGCAATCTATTCACTCGGGCCTTGAAGATATCCCTCAATCCTTCAGGGAACAAAGACTTTGGCAATAAAAAAAGCCCTTTTCCCCCATAGGTGGACTACTTCGTGCTGATACTGGAAGGTCGTGTGGAGGTGACGGTGGGCCGGGAGAACTTGGTCTTCGAGGCAGGACCCTTCACCTACTTCGGAGTACAGGCCCTCACTCAGAACGTTGGATTAGGTAAGTCATTTCTTTAACACTCTTTTATTAGTCAAAGTCAAAGTCAAAATCATTTATTTCAATTAGAAACTTCCAGGCACTTTTGAACGTCAAAAGAAATTTTAAAGATATAAAGTGTCAGTCTGTCGGCCAGTCCGCTTAGTGAAGCTACTGGCTCGTTCCAAAGTGTAGATTCCGATGGAGAAGAACGAGCAAGAAACTCCATGGTTACTCTTTTTTAATCTGTTTCACATACAGATTCCTTTTACAAACAGTTGGTTCAATTATGTGAGAACAGTCTATTGAACACTAATATTTATTAACCGACTTCAAAAAAAGGAGGAGGTTCTCAATTCCTCGGGATTTGCTTTTTTATATTTTTTTTTATGTACGTTCACCGATTACTCGAAGAAGCCTGGACCGATCTGGATTTTTTTTTATTGTTCTGTGGGGTATGATTTTTAGTTGGTCCCATATTCACCTGGTCAGGATCTGATGATGGAAACCCAGGAAAATCGAGGGGAACTTTCAAATTTTATAGGGACAGGCGGCATGATTCATATATTTTCTGAAGTTATTAAGTACTAGCGGCCCGCCTCCGCTTCGCACGGGTTCAACTATCTCGCTATCAAAGCGTCACTTTTTCCCAATCTTCCCCTCTACTTTTCTAATATTTTTCTTTGATAAGAACCTTTTCCTGACAATAACAAACACAACAAAAAACTAATTAGCAAAATTGGTCCAGGCGTTATTGAGTTATGCGCTTACAACACATTTTGCGATCCATTTTTATATATAAGAGAAGAAGAAGATTAAACGTCACAATGCATAAATATTAGCAAGTGCTGATGATTATGCATTTTGAAAACAGTGTTACACTAATAATTATTCAGAGAAAATAACCTTAAGGACGACCTTAACAGACAGTTTTTTTTTCCTTACGTGGGTGCGGTTTTACTTCTTTTTCGTATTTTTTGTCTAAACATTAGTGTTACATTGTTCTCACATATCAGAACCGACTAAATTATGTAACAAAGAAATGCATTGTAAAACTGATTGAAAAAGAGTAACCATGGAGTTTCTTGTTCGTTCTTCTCCATAGGAATCTACTCTTTGGAACGAGGAAATAGCTTCACTAGAGGACAGACGGACAGACTGACACGCTTAAAGTTAAAGCTCTTGAAATACTTTTTTCCTTTTATTGCTTGACGTTCAAAAGTGCCTACTGTGGTCTAATTGAAATAAATGATTTTGACCTTGACTTTTGACTTTGCGTTTACAAGCATACGATTTCACATACACATCACACCCAGACCCGGAAAAACAATTTGTGGATCACACAAAGAATTGTTATGTGCGAGAATCGGCAACCAGTTGTCCAGCCACCGCGCCAACCGTGCAGTCAATTTATTTCTTTATGTAGGTAAAACTTTGTTTGATAGGAGTCAAATGAGTTACGAGTGCGTTGCCGGCCTTTTGGGGATTAGGCTATTGGAGATTTAGAGATTCGGCGTGGCGTGGCCGTCTTTCTGTAATTTTTTTTAATCCCGTACCAACACGAAACTTAACGACCTGCCTCGAAAACTTTCATTGCTCAACCATATACTTAATTAATCGAATAATTATGTTTATTGTTTTAGCTGAAGCCCCAGCGCCTTCGACCCTGGGCTCCTTGCAGAACCTGAACATGGATTCCATGCTTCGTCACTCCTTTGTACCGGATTACTCCGTCAGAGCCATCGCTGAACTGTATTACCTCACTATAAAGAGGCAAGTTTCAATAAGCTGTTCTATAGACTAAGGATATACTTAGTTTTTATAGGTAAACGAGCAGACGGATTACCTCATCATCATCATCATCAGCCTATAAGTGCCCACTGCTGAGCAAAGGCCTCTTCTCACACGGTGAAGGTTTGAGCATTAATCACCACGCTCGCTCAATGCGGGTTGGCGATTTTAAACTTACAATTAGAAATCATAAGTACAGGTTTCCTCACGATGTGTACCTTCACCGTATGTCAGTGGTGTCTTAATAATCATACGGATTACCTGATGGTAAGCAATCAACGTCGCCCATGGACATCCACAACACCAAAGAAGTTACGAGTGCGTTGCCAGCCTTTTGGAGGTAAACGTTGCGGATATTTTAAGACTCGGAGGGGGAGGGGGAGGGATCGGGCCTCCGGTAACTTCACTCACACGGCGAAACCCAACGCTGTGGTTGTTTCACGCCAAGCTATTATGAGCAAACTGGCTACCTGATGGTAAGCAACCGGCGTCGCTCATGGACAGTCGCGATATTAGAAGAGTTAAGTGCATTGACGGTCTTTTGGAGATAAGAGTTGCCGACACTTGAAGATCGGGAAGAGATAGGAGGAGAGGAAGGATTTGGTCTCCAGTAACCTCACTGTCAAGGCGAAACAAAACGGTTATGTTGTTATACGTCGATTTTCTGAGTAGACTTGGTATTGATACCAAGTCTACTGGCATGAATGGGCTGGCTCGACTGGATTGATTCGGTCGAGCCAGCCCATTATGCCCTAGAATGACTCTTATATATCGATAAGACTGCACATGCTGCTCGGCTCCCATTGGTCGTTGCTTGACATTTTATAGCCTATATAGCCTTCAATATGGACCATCAAATATTATCCAATTCGGGTCAGTAGTTCCCGAGATAAATCCGATCAAACATCCAAACTCTTTCAATGAAATAATTAATTTATTTTCAAAAAAAAAATAGGCCACAAAACGACACTTTTACACGTAAAAATTGTTATATAAAAAAAACTAGATGGAGCCGCCATTTCATATCTGACTACTCTGAGAAGAAATGCCGAAACAAATTCAAAATTTTTGAATTATACTTATAATATCCATTTATTCACAGATCAATGTACTTAGCCGCTAAGCGCGCCACTTTGATGGAGAAAGGAGTGCTCGGCAGAGGAGGAACCAACGAACAAATCGAACCAGAAGTCGATAAGGTAAACTGAATTATGTTAAAAGAGGTCTCATTGCAATCAAAGATCTGGACGTCCACTCAAAACGTGCCAAAGTCATTTATAATATTGCGAAAGTTACGATGTTTGGATGTTTGTAACTCAATCACGCCAAAACGGCTAGACGGATCTGGATGAAATTTGGCACAGGCATAGGATACACTCTGGAATAGCACAAAGGCTACTTTTTATCAACATACCACGCGGGCGAAGCCGCGGATGGAGGCTTGTAAATAGTATAAAATAGTCGCTTAACAAGTCGCTTTCTCTGTCCCTATATCCCTATGTATGCTTAAATCTTTAAAACTACGCAACCGATTTTGATACTGTTATTTTAATAGATAGATTGATTGAAGAGGAAGTTTTATATGTATAATAACATCTTTTAAATAGTGGAGAAATTTAGTATCAGCTATACTTCGTGCGAAACCGGGGCCGGTTGATAACCTGATGGTAAGCAGTCAGCACACTCGCAAATACTGAGCAGTTACAAGTGTCTATGACGATGAGGGTGTCGAAGATTTAGGAAGGGATTGGGCCTAGGGAAGTAGGATTGGCCCTCCGGTAACCTCACTTACACGGTAAAACACATTTCGTGAATGGAAATGGTTTTTTTATGTGATAAGTCGGCAAACTAGCAGACGGATTACCTGATGGTAAGCAATCAGCGCCGCCCATGGACATCCGCAACACCAGAGGAAGTTATAAGTGCCTTGCCGGCCTTTTAGTAAGAGATTTGGGAGATTTAGGGATTGGGGAGGGGAAGGATTGGGCCTCCGTTAACCTCACCCACACGGCGAAACACAACGCTGTGGTTGTTTCACACCGGTTTTCTGTGAGGCCGTGGTATCACTCCGGTCGAGCCGACCCATTCGTGCCGAAGCATGGCTCTCCCAGACTTCTAATATTGTGTTTGTATTACAGCTACTCCGGGATGGCGACAATCGTGTTGAGGAGATCAGAGAGGAAAAGCAACGTGAGGACAACTCGAAACCGGTAAGGCAACATCAATGTCAATATCAACATTATATAATATTCGAAGTCAATGTCTACATTATAGTTTAGTCAAAGATAAGGGTAATGTCAAAGTTGAAATCTATGTCAAAATTAATAGAGAGGTAAATGTCAAAGTCAGAGAAAAACATGTGTCAAAATTCTGAAACATTCTATGTCAAAGTAAAAAGTAATGTCAAAGTCAAAGTCAAACGAAAAAAATCGTTATGTCAACAATCAATCAAAATCTGTATAAGAATTCGAAGTCGAACATGAATGTCAAAGTCAGAGTAAATATCAATGGCAAAATTTAGATTTAATACATTTAAATAAATTGTTAAAAACCGAACCTGAGTACGTCCTGGAACTGGGTACGTCTTGGACCCGGGTACGTCCTGGCCCGGGTAACCCGACACCATGGGCTACAGGATTGGGCAGCAGCATTCCATCCATATATTGGTGACCTGACTGCGATCTTTAAGCCGCCTGCCAATCTTGGAGACTATGGCAACCTCCCTAAGGGGGTAGACTTTGTCCAGCAGTGGACGTTTTCTGGCTGATGATGATGATGATGATGAAGTAAATTGTTTGACATTGACTTGGCAAGGTCACACAATTTATTTGTGTTATGTTAATTTTACTCGCGAAACAACGACTTCGTTGTTATCAAAAGACAAAATTGTTAATTTGCAATTAATATGTATTTAAATATAATTGTATTTTTCATGCTGCATTATTTAAAGGATAAAACCAAAGGTTAAAGTAAGGTAGAAGACGGTAACATACAATTCATTTGATAATAATAACCATTTTTTTTTTATTGTATAATTCGGCAAACGAGCAGACGGGTTACCTGATGGTAAGCAATCGGCGCCGCCCATGGACACCCGCAACACCAAAGAGTTACGAGTGCGTTGCCGACGGGATAGGGGTTGGGGATATAAGGATCGGGAAGGGATAGGGGAGGGGGAGGGATTGGGCCTCCGGTAACCTCACTCACACGGCGAAACACAACGCTGTGGGTTGTTTCACGCCGGTATTCTGTGAGGCCGTGGTATCACTCCGGTCGAGCCGACCCATTCGTGCCATTAGACAGAAAATTGAATAGACTAGCTACTAAAATAATAATAATGATTAGAACGAGAAAGTGTTAATGTAATATTATGTGGATGTGAGCAAGACAAAACATATGTTTTTTGTCCCTTTTTCGCGTATCGCTTTATTTTCTTTGAAAAGTGTCAATGTAGTTTTGCGTTTTGTTTTGTGTAATACTTTTCTATTTTTCTATGAAATTTGTATGAAAAACTGATTTATGACGTCATAGTATTTTTGCGTCAAATACTTATTTCTTAATAATTAGCTAAAAATATCTTAAACTTAGTGATAGCTAAAAATATATAAAAATATAGTTTATAAAATATAAGTTTTCAGTACTATAAATATTTTTCAATATTTTATAGTACTGAAACGTCGAATTAATTTATTTTTGACCTAGGAAACTACCCAATTCGCGGGTTCGCTCCTGAGTCAAAACTGTCCTATAGTTTTTAGTCAGGTCTCTATCATGCCGTTTCGGGTTTGAATCCCGCTTGAAACAATGTTCTGTGTGACCCACAAATCGTTGTTTCGGGTTTGTGTATGTGAAAATTGTATGTTTGTAAACAGACCCACGACACAGGAGAAAATCCTATTTTGTAGCATAAGTTGTTTTTTTGGTTCCTTCTGTTTATGTTTATTAATGTATATTATTTTCTTTTTCAGTTTATACCGACCTCTGCCAGCCCCCATACGAATGCGACTTTCAAATCAGACAAGGAGGTCCACCCCGAAGAGGAGAAATTATTAAAAAAGTAAACTAAACAATTTTAGGAGAAATATTTTAATAGAAAATACATAATGTACATTACATATACATTTACTCATAATCACTACACTTGTCAATGTTCTTGGGGATTACAGTTAGCCTTCTGAAACTTAAGGCATATACCATGCCCTCTGTTCAGTAGTTTTGTATATGAATAACAACGTTGCCCATAATCACCACACTTGTCAACGTTGTTGGTGATTACAGTTGGCAGGCCTACAATTAACCATAGCTTTACCATATGAAAACCAACATTTGTCATAATCACCACACTTGGCAATTTGTTTGGGGATTATACCCTCATGCATGCGAAATGGGCGCTTTAACCTCAGGACCAGTAAAATTAATATATTTTGTATTTTCTATTATTATTATTTTTGACTTAAATATACACTGATCGGTATTGTGTACCGAATTGAAAAAAAAATATAATTTTAATCAATATTTTTCGTTTTTCGTAACAATTTTTAATGCACAATAAATAATTGCGATAAGAATCATGTCTTCCCCGCTACCAAGCTTATAAATCCATTCAGTTGACAGTGCCTATCGTGAAACATACAATTTAAAATAAAAACAACTAAGGGCTCATTTTTCAATGGTTAGATAAAAGTTACCTGGGGAATAATTATGATGCTGTCGCGTCACAATGTTTGTATAAGACAGTGACAGCAACAATTTTATTCCTCAGATAACATTTATCTGACTATTGAAAAATCAGCCCTTACTCTCGTTAATTAACTGCTCCATTATAACCTAAAACCTACCATTCCGGTAGCAACCTTGTCAGTCTAATCATTGAAAAGTAATAGTCTGTATGATAAGTTTAGGCATTCAATCAATTGGCTACTCTTCAGGCTGTTAATTGAATGGCTAATAAGCTTGGTCGCGACATATATACAATGTAATAGAGATATATAAATGTTAATTTATATTAATTATTTAATATGTAACAGAGAAATTTGAGATTTCTGAGACCTTATTAAATCCATCCCATCCCCATACCTTCCCTATCCTCAAATCCCTAATAAACCACAAGAGTTCGGCAACGCACTTGTAGTAACAACTCCTTTGGTATTAGGAGTGTCCATGGGCGACGCTGATTGCTTACCATCAGGTAATCCGTCTGCTCGTTTGCCGACTTATTACATAAAAAATATGTTTTACCTATTATTTAACCAATTATTCTACTTACACCATCTGGATAGAGCGAAGATCTCCAATTAACTCTGTTACAAATTATAGAAAAATAAAACTCGTGCCTTTATAATTACACTACCTTCACATTTTATTTATAAACTCCCCCCTAAAAAGGGGGGGCTTCGATAAATACATAATTTTTTTGACAACTATGTATGTATGAGAAAAATGAAATTGTAAAAATAATTATAAATAAAATGTTCAATCAATTTTTTCTGACCGAAATTTCTTTAAATTGGAATTTTTAAATGAATATAAATTCTATTCTTTATACATATATGTAATTATTAATGGTTAAATATTAAATGAACAATGTTTTTGTATGTTGTGTATTTGTTGTAATCTTATCTCGTAAACGGCTGTATCGCTTTTAATGAAACATGTCTACAATATAGGAGCGAAATGAGCGAATGATAGAAGAAACAAAATAAATCGACACAGGCCTCTTCTCACACGGAGAAGGTTTGAGCATTAATCACCATGCCTCCTCAAGGCGGATTGGCGATTTTCAAACTTATAATTAGAAATTTACAGTCTAGGTTTCCTCACAATGTTTTCCTTCACCGTATGTCAGTGGTGTCTAAATAACCTTAAAAAGTACATATAAATGAAAAAAGTCATATTGACTTAAAACATTGGAAATCGGGGGAGATTCTCGAACTAAATAATTGAATTATATTTTTAATTCCCTATAATAAACAGGTCAGAATTTAGCATCGAATCTGATGTCGCGACAATCATGCTATTATAATGAACAAATTTTGAAAAGTTTTCGTAACATTTATAAACGAACTTCTGTGCTTATCCCCTTTTAAAACTACTAAGATATCAGAAGCTATAAATCACGAGTGCCTTATCCTTTGCATAGTAAATGTCGTGGGTAATGCAAAAAAAAATATGAAAGAATTAACGACTTATTCACTAAAAAAACTCTACTAAGTTCAAGTCTCAATGGAACTCAGATAAAAGTGTGTGTAACACGATCTTAGTATAACTCTGCCCACTTCTTCATCGACAAAAATCACGAAGATACGCATTTTCAAACGAAAAAAAAACAGTCAACTATAAAAAATATTCTAATTGATAATACCTACAAACTATTTTTTAATTCACAACCTCGTAACTTTATTAGGAAAAATAAATATAATATTTTATAATAAGCGTTGTATTTTGTGCCTTAATTGTATAAGAAATGTCTGCTTGAAATGTGCGTAAATAATCTCCAAACAGTGCCTCGTGTAGTGTAGATGTCCAGTCAACTGATGGTAGCGAGGTTCACTGTCCAGTGACACGGACGCTGGTATCGTCATGAGCTAATGTTCACATGTGAACAGTGACTCGTGTAGTGTAGATGTCCAGTCAACTGATGGTAGCGAGGTTCACTGTCCAGTGACACGGACGCTGGTATCGCCATGAGCTAATGTTCACATGTAAACTTCAACAAACATATATACGGTAAAATACATTTTAAATACTTCCTGAAGAAATTGGTGCCTTACGTAATAAAATTGAAATATTTTTCGAGTAAATGCATGGAATATTATTGTTAACTTTAAATTTTCTTAGTAACTTCCTTTTTTAATTAATTATACATATAATTATGAATTAATTTAATGATTAGTAATTTTTGTAATCGAAGCATTTTTTTTTCGTTTTAAATAACATTAATTAGCGTTTAGATTGAGTAGGAGATTTTGTTGTTTTTCTATAATTATTATTTTTACCTATTAGAATTTAATTTCGAATAGTGATGAGAAATATGAAAAATAAAAATCGAAAATTAATTTTTTTTTTGTGAAAATTTTCTGGCTCGTTGTGAGGTCTTGATTTTGATGTTCTTTATAGACATTTTTTGAACATTTCTATATTAAATTTCTTTAAAAAAATCAGTTAATTATATCTTAGACAATTTTGAATGTAAGTCGTAATCAAATTTTATTTATTTTATGCTATTTTATAAGTTAAGTCCATTTTGATAACAGAAAGTTTATGTTTTTTAAACAGTGACTCATGTAGTGTAGAGATTGTCCAGTCAACTGATGGTAGCGAAGTTCATTGTCCAGTGACACGGACGCTGGTATCCTTAACTTGGAAATGTTGAAATAAAATCAAATTGAACCTCAAAATGTTGCCAGATAAAAAAGTGTACTTATATATTTTTGTAAAAGGCAATATTATTTGTTCGTTATTGCTATTATTATTTGAAATAATGGAATTGTGTATCACTGTTGAATTTTGTATTTTTTAATTATTGCACATAGAATCAAATGTAAAATGCTATTGTTATTTAATTCACGTAATTATGAATATGAATGAATTATTAATTATTATTTTTTTTTTTATTATATATTATTAAATATAATAACAGTTACAAATATAATTTTAAGAGCATTTATTTCGATTATTACGCGAAAATAAATGAATGTAACATATTCATTACAATTTTTTGTTTCATTTTTCAACCATACCTGTATTTCATTTTTTTGATGGCAAACGGGCTGTCGGATTACCTGATGGTAAGCAATTCGTGCCGCCTATGGATACCCGCTACATTATCGAGTGAGACCAGTGCCTAGCCAGCTGTTTTTTGTTTCGTAATGGGCAGGCATTTGACCGCTATCACACCTGGTGGCAAGCGATGATGCGACCTACGATGGAGCATGATTACCCATAAGCAACTTCTTTTTTCTTCAATTGTGTCTCGAATTAAAAGGTTAAAAGAATTTAAAGTGTCTCCTGAAAACTTTGCTCATGAGGAGTTAGCTGATTGGCCAATTAGGGTTAGGGTATTGATGTAACATTTTTTTTAATGTCTGTCATTTTTAAAATGGGTAAACGAGCAGTCAGATGACATGTTGATCAGCAACCAAGTAACGCAAGTATTTAATTTTTATACTTACTTTTTCTTTTCTCCATTCTTATTGTGTATTTTGCTTTTACTGTAGTATATATGATTGAATACAAAACACTGACACAATTAAAAAAATATGCATCTGAAAATGAGTATGAGTGTTGTGGAATTGAACTCATACAATATAACATTATAATAATAGTCTTATATCGTACGCCAAGCTCAAACCATTTGTTTTCCTACGAAATTTAGAAGTAATGTTGTGCAACCTTAGAAACAAGTCAAAAAAACAATTAGTGATAGTAGGTGACCTTAACATTGATATTTTAAGCAACAAAATCGATCGAAATAAAAAATGCATTGACGAATTGACTAGGATTGTAAATAATTTCGGTTTACCACTACATATAAAACAACCAACAAGAAGGAATTCATGTCTAGACCAAATAATAAGTAACTGTAAGGATGCAATATGTGAGGTTATACCACTGGGACTGTCAGATCATGAAACAGCTCAGATGATATCTATACAAATAGACAATAAATTTCCACCTCTACGTTTCCGCACTATTTATAAGCGTGATTTCAGCACCGATAATAAAGAAAAGTTCTTAAGCTGCATGTCAAGTTTAAAATGGACAGAAGTATTTTCCAATCGGGAAGCTAACAGTGCGTTTAATCACTTTCACGATACACTTGTTTTGTTCTTTGATTTGTGCTTCCCCAAAAATGAAATAAAAATAAACCTAACAAAAAAGTATACCAAATGGATTTCAGAAGGTATTAAAAAATCAACTAAAACCAAAAGGAACTTGCGCTTTAAATACTACTTTTCATCTGACAAAAACAGTAAACTGAAATACTTAAACTACAATAAATTACTTAAAAAATGTATACAAAAAGCACAAAAATATCATTACACAAATTACATTACTAGGGCTAAAAATAAATGTAAGGCGTCGTGGGACTTAATAAAATATAATACCAATAATAATCAAATTCAAGAATCAAATATTAAAGAAATAGAAACTGAAACTGGACCACTAACAAACCCTACGGACATTGCCAATTATGTAAATGAATATTATATAAATTTGACTAACAACGATTTTGACATTAACACTAATGATTATGACATTGATCCTATTAATTCCAGTATATTTTTGATGCCCACTAATGATAGTGAAATACAAAAAGTAATAAAATCGCTCAGGGACACAAATTCAACAGGTTATGACCAAATACCTACAAA